TGAATGTTTATTACACTGCAGTCGATTTATAAAGAACGTGTTTAGATGGCTATTTACCTTGAGAGATGCTTTAACTGGTAAGAGGTTATGTAATTTTCACTGCAGAATGTAATAAATTTTCCTATCGTCAGGCCGGAGCTAATTTAAATACTATCGATCTCTGCCCAGTTAAGCTGTGCTACTGAGAGATGAAGCTATTATTTATTTGCGACTGAAATATTGTTTTTTTTAATTCCCCCAAGACATAAAGGACTGTATTTTCACTTGAATCATTTTTACGCTCTTCATTATTAGAGGATAAATTTGCAGAAGAAGCACTTGACGTCAAAATATAGGTACGTACATTACGCTGATGGTTGTTTTTCTTGGCACCGAAGACACATTTCGGTTACAGATAAGGGCTTCCGTTGTAATTAAAAGATTTGTTGATATATGTGGTTGGATGAAGGAAGAATGGACCACCGAGTCTGATGACGCAATGCTCTTGACCCCATGTTTCCCGGCAATTCCAAACAGTCTTCTTCTGTTTGTATTGTTTTCCTCTTTTATTCACTGCATTGTTCAATTCCTGCAGCAGCTACCTACATTCGACTATTGTTTCCCTATGCTTCTGCATCATTACTCAGATCTATGGTCATATATCTCATGCGAATTCCCCACAAGTCCTCCGGTTCACTAATGTAGTGTTTACGTGATCTGCCCGTGATATACATCACGAAATGTTTCAGTAATTTTAATTGCCTCACGTATCGAAAGCAACTTTACGTAACAAGATCAAGTAGTGCCAACCTCGCCTAAAACCAGCAGCATTTAGAAAGATGTGTGTTAATTATGTTTCACATAAAATAAAATGTGTGAGTAAATCCATCCGGCTTAGCACTATGAGTAACGAAAAGCTTCTTAATCGATCTTAATTAAATTAAGTTACTATTTGTATGTAGTACGATTAACCCTTTAAAGCCGAAGGTCGCCGAAGTAACCTTGCATATAAAGTTGAAATGTGAGTTTATGTGTTTGTTCGCTTATAGCTCGAGAACGGATAAACCGGTTTGCACAAAACTTGGCGTGCTTGTTTCTAGATACCAGGGAAACATCAAAGGTGGATCAGAACTTTGGGAAATGTGTCCTGAGGGCATTCCCCATAGCTCGAAAGCTAAGCGATAAAAGAATGGCGCCTTGGCCATAGTTGTTTGTTTCGAAGAGAATATTACAGAAACAAAGACCACAAACCCGAAAAGAAATTGTCCTGGGTTTGATTACCAGTAAAGATATTTTCTGTAACTCGGATACTAAGCACGACAGAAGAAGGCATCAGGGTAAAATTTCTTTTCGGGAGAGAATGTTAGATAATTTAAGATCACAAACTCGAAGAATGTCCTAGGTCCAGATCTTTTCGCCGTAAATTCCAGACTATCTTCGGGGTCCGACCAGCCTCCTATCAAATGGGTACCGGGGTTATTTCCCGGGAGTTCAGGGCGTGAAGCTAATCACTAACTTCTATCCAGTGTAGAGGTTAAGAATGCCTGTTTCTGAACGTTGACTCTCCCATACGTTTGCATTGCGTGCTTCTTAGTTGAGCGACTCTGAGTTTATAATTGAACATTTACAAGTTGAATCGGATTTACACTCTCCCAATTACTGTATCTGTAAATGTCTTCATCCGTTTACCCTAAACGAAAAAAAAAAACAGTTTGGTTTAATCTTGTTGCCAAAATCTTGAAGCATCCTGAAACTCGTTCTATCAAAAGATTAGCTCTGGGACAATCCATGTTTTTTTGGATAATTATATATGCCCGTGAAATATTATTAAATATCATTAAGAAGTCTTAATGAAGTTGCATCTCTGCTTGCTTATATTTCAGTGACATTTTCAATAAATTATTTTAAAGTTGGTGCGACTGACACAGGAATAAACTGTGGATGAATACACGTTGAAAATGCGTGTAAAGCTAGACTTAGCGATGCTATAAAACACGCTTTCTTTCTATTACGAAATGCGTTTAAAACACAGCCTGGAATCCACGACATATCCACTCGTCTCTTGACTACTACAGCTACGAATTGGATGTAAGCCATTTTTTATATAAATCCTTCGTATACCCCGGAAACTACATCATTTTATGTGAAATATAAGCATCATAACCCAGGATTCTCCGCCCCCACAAATGGAAAATATACTTTTGCTATTCATATTTTATTTAAATTAAGGTATCTACATGTTTGTGAGCAAACACTCTGTTCAATCTACGTGTTATTTCCAAAGGCAAAACCAATTTTCTTCTAAAGCATGTTGATTATTTTCTTGGCGTTCCAGAACGAGTTTAAGAGTATTTTCAAAGCCGAACAGGGAGTGGTAAATGCATTTAGCAGGGTGTGTGGGTAATAGTTGTAAACCAGCTAAAATTCGTTATAAAGTTTGAAACACTGCCTCCTTTAAGGAAACATTCAGTATGATAGGACCAAAATTTATGTGTGAAAAGTTAAAATTACAGTCACGATTGCTTAATAAATGTTTAAATTAAAACTGCTTCCTAAAGTACAGTGCAAAGCCGTAGCATATTTGACTAGTAACGTTATACAGTTTCAAAGAATGACAACTCGAGGATTATTATTACGCTCATTACGAAATTTACATACAAGAATTTGACATTGAACCATTGACAATCACTGAAAGATTTCACGAATAAAATGGCCGCCCTCTTTCATTAAATACAATATCACTGTTGCGTTCGAACATTTGTAATTTCTAAATCCCATCAGCCCTGGAGTAAATTCTTCCAGCGTGAATACGCACTGTAATGTTTGCTTTCTTTCAGTGGGCCTTTGATGGATACACAGTCTGCCACGCCTGTAATTTCTTCTGCCTCAGTATACATAAATCTCTCCTGTCCATAAACCGCGTCTTATTTGTGTTTACAAAAGAGGATCACATAAGATTACCATAGTTTCAAAAGAACGCAGCAACCCAAAAAACATCACAGTACAATGGGTTGCCTACTCCATAGGATAACTTTGAATAACAATAAATAACTCATGTCAATTCTAATCGAAACATTTATTTGCATTTTAACTTACAAAAATATCGGTAATAACTTTCGTGCAGAGAACGGATTGATATAATAATATATTTCATTCTAGTTTTGGTATCTTATTCGTGTCTTCGAGTATATCAAACGTAGGGGAAGATTTTACTAGGGGGAGGAGGATATCAGTGCCACTTCTGTCTTAGACTCTCCCAGCTATCTCAAGTGCCCGAGAGGATATAATTTGGACTCTTATGTTCCTAATGGCACTATTTCAGAAGTTAAATGGTGGGTTGGCTAAGGTTGCGTCGACGTCGTGTGAAATATTCGGCAGTTCTTGTGATCTTTACGTTACAAACAACGTGTGATTGTTTTTGGATTTGAGCCAGACAGAAGCTGCTCAAGTAATCTCGCGGTTATCCATGTCTTATAACACACCGTTTGCCTTTTTCATATGTGCCGTAAACATGCTTAACGTTTAGGGCAGCGTCATCTGGATTGAAAACCCGAATGATGTTGGAAGAAGTTTCCGACGTTTCGGATGAACCTATTGCCTGTCCATCTTTACGTCTGCCCTAAATACGAAGGCAGCTGTTTCTTTCAAAACGTCGAAAACGACTTTCAGTATTAAAAGATCTTAAAAGACAGAATACGACAGTATTTTATATCACCGTGAAAGTCTCATTTCCAAAATGTAGGAGGCGTACATATTTGGTACAGTAGGAGATTATGAGTGTGTTTCATAATATTGAGTGTAATGATTTTTCTGTGTCCCTTTTTATTTTTTGATGACACTTTCTTTTAAACATGGTTTGATCGTTCACCTCTGCTTAGGCATGTGAACGTGAGGCCAGCAGTCAAGCTAGTCGGCTTTGGCTCTCTGGAGCTGTTACGCCACGGATTTATTTTATTTATTTGATTTGTTATGAAAACTATCCACGTATTATCTTCTATTTCTTAAACACAACGATAATATACGTGTTTCACTTATCGAGGTTGACTGCCCGGTTTGCGCTATGTGACGTCGGTTTTTTTTTTAAAAAATTCGACGTTTTACGTCTCTCGTCGATGATGCCTAAAGTTCAACAAAGGTCTCGTATTTTTTTTAAGCCCAGGAAATGTTTTAGAGTCAATCTGAGTTTCAAGTAAATTGCATTTGCCTTTAAATAATTTAATGCCTTGTATTCTGTGTTTACAGATGGAAATGTTCATTCCGGACTAATTCGTGTAAACGTCTCTTTTGTGCTACAGCTGGATCCACATAAACTTCGCCCTTGGAAACCACAAAAAGCAAATCATGTTATTAATGTGATAACGTACGTACGTATGTGATTCGCATGGGAAGTTGAAATTTGTTCTTCCAGTGGGAAATAATTTCAGAAATCTGACCTGTAAGGGCAACACTCCTTTGTATGAGTGTTTCTGTTGATGGAGGTGAGGGGTGGGGGGCGATGAGTTACGAGGGGTCAGGAACAGGCCTAATGGGAGCGGGCCGGGAGCAAAGTCTTTTAAGCTGTTTCCGGGCCCCCATAGACGTCGCTGTGACGGCACTTGTAAATGTGTATAAATCCCAAAATGAATTTGTTCCAAACCGAGTTCAGTTCTTTGCTCGAGTAATTTCACTATTATGCCAGCTTGTATGGTTCTTAATTCCGTTTATCGCTTCTCATTCTGAAAAAGACTTACCTGTCCTCTACGTCTGAACCGTCTTGAGTGACTCAGCAGCTGGATAATTTTTTTGTTATAAAAGCTGAAAGTCTGTTACAGTAACGTCCATCAATAAGTCCTGTCCTCAGGAACATCTGTTCATTTCCAAGAAAATTTTATTGTAAGCCCCCGATTTAGAAGACTTGTCGGCTTTGTGCTGCAATCAGCCATCTGTAGTAGATCTGGGTAAGCTGCACGGTTGAAACGGTAATTATATGCTAAGGCTACCATGTCGGAGGGAATTTCTCTTGTCATTGGCCAGCCTGCAAAATAACTTTCAGTGCTTCCAATAGATGGCACATTAACAGTAAGCGTGGTAGTTTTTTGTGAATGAAGACGTTAAATACTTACGTATTGCGAGGAACTTGAAGTGTTTTATGAAATTATGGAAGTCAAAACTTCAAAATTCTTGTGGAACGCGTCAAAATTAGTTACAAGAAGACCTGTCCTTCAGAGTTATTACTTGTAAGTGTAATAGGCTTACACGTAACGTAATCACAATTATGGCATACTTGCCCGTTCCTGTACGTTTCTCACATGATATGTTATGATCTATTTTTTAAAAGTAGTAATAATAATGGAAATAATGCCAATTTTGTTTTAGGATGTAATTAGCTTTTATTTTATGTGAACTGTGCAAGTTTTCTGACCAGTACCGTAGAGGTAGTTTTTACCCATGCCTGCTTTATATATTCCTTTAACAAACAGTATGAATATTGAGAATTTATAATACCGTTATATTAATGTTGTGATTATTAACGTGCATGTAATTGTCATTTTGCTTTCAGGTCAAAATGTAGGTCACTACTGCAAGAGGGTGAAGATGGGCATTTACCTGGAAACGAATTTCGTAAATCGGCGATGTGTAACTTATGTAGTAATGTGTTTATGTATGGCAGATATCATATATCAGTAATGCCAGAGAAGGTACCAGGAAAGAAAATGAAAAAAATAATTCGTAGGCAGGAACTGGCTGAGACACTTAGACCATTTGAGAAGAAGTTGTATGAGAAGTATAAAAAAGGAAAGGATAACAAACTGGTGAGGGTATTAGCTGTAGGTTCAGAGCATATCCACACTATCAAATGATATTTAATTATAACTGTGGTTCAATATTAGCAGAGGAAGACTTGAAGTATGTGAAGAAAATTTATTTGTATCTGCTGTGAATCGCTTTAGAGCAGCGGATTATACATATTTGTTGAACACTTAGAATTTAGTGTCATCATTAATTTTTTGTGTGGGTGTAAATACATTAGTATCTGCAAAATTATGTTGATGGTGGTCTTGTGGTTTTTGATTCTGCGTGGACTTACAGGTGGGCCTACTGTTCTGTTAAGGCCTTGTGTTAGCATTTGTAGGATCTCCCCACAGGTCTTTGACCATCTGGTTGGTAATGGAGGATGTGAAATTGAATGGAGATGGCTAGAATTTTTAAATATAAATGTGATGTAATATGCAATGATCTGTGTACGTACTGAGACACGATATATTTGATCACAAATAACTTGAAGGTTTTTGAATTGTCTGAGTTGCCCATGCTTTACAATTTAATTTTAATTTTGTAAACAACTTTGTTTACTGTGTTTGCAATTCTTTCAGGTTTTGAAGTGCTTAGTTTGCCAGAAGAGAACCATTCTACCATTATCAAAACCAGTTCAGTTAAAGCCAACCAAAATTCAGAATGAAACTGTTGAGACTCCAGTAACAAATAAGAAGAAGAAAAAGAAGAAGAAGAAAGATATATATGCAGGCCTTAATAGTTCTGTTATGTCAGTATATATTCCCAAAAGAGAACTGTCACAGTTGAAAAGTGAGAAGAAAACTAAGAAAGAAAATGAACCTGTTGACATCCATAGTTCCATGCAGCCATCAGCCACTCCTCAAGAAGAGCAGTCAAGAAGAAAAAGTAAAGCTAGGAAGAATTTCAGTGATTTAGAACTGTTTCCTACAGATGAACAGAAGGTGCATAAAGTGAAATCAACTGTCAGAAAACAAATTGCACAAGCAAAGCAACTGATAATAGCTTCAAGGAAGAAGGCTAAAAAGAGAATTGCATTGGAGTTAGAGAATACGACTAAGAAAGCGAGAAAGTGTAATGCTTTACGGAAAATTTTGGCAGATACTTCTTCTCAGAGTGCAAGAACAACATTTAAAGAATTTTTGGCCAATTTGAATTAAAGCATATCTCCGTATTTTAACTTCAAAATAAACTCCCTTCTGAAATATAAGCAACTAAAACACTGAAATTTGTTTCTTCCATGTCCTGATAATGAAATTATGCATGTAGCTCAGTTTGTTATAACTGAATGGGCTCTCTTTCTACAACCAGTACAAGAACTTATGTAATGCAAAATTCCAAGGTGCAGTGCTGTGAAGGTAAATAATTGTATTAAATTGTTTGGGGCTATGTATATGTTGCAAGTTATTGATTTATGTTATTTGCATTAGTGTATTTATTTTATATTAGTGAAGAATTTTGTTTGTTTTTCCATTGATTAAATTTAGGTTTCCTGCTTTTTATACAGATGTGTCATCTTTAGATCACTGAGAACAACTTCTGTTGAGATGGCGGTATCCGACATTCATGGGCTGTGAGATAAGACCCTAGCTCGGATGTGGCTCAGTAGCTGAACTAATTTCGTGGTGGGTTGCTCTGGAAAATATTGTTACCTGTTCACTGTGAGAGAGTTAATGAGAGACTGATGGCAAGTACATTTTTAACCTCAGTCAAAATTGTATTGGTTTAGGTATTAATAGAAATTACGAATCATCTTACTCTTTGAAGCTGATTGTCATCACAATATCATGTCAAATTTCAATCCATATCTCAAAGAAAATACATCTCTATTTTAGAGAATAGTTGGTTAATGCTGTTTAGGGAAATAATTGCTGTTTATTGCGTAGGTCATACAAAACTATAAATTCACAGTTACCGATTACTGAAGCAGGTGGTACCTGCAATTACTTCTTCTTCTATGGCTCTCCTGTCCGTATTCGGTCCATGGCCTCCTCAATTCTTCTCTTCCATTCGGTCCTCTATTAGGTCCATCTGTCCGAGGCTTTGATCGAGGTTTCGAAACATCTTCCTTTTTACAGTGCAAGGTTGTTAGCCTTGCGCCCAACCCCCAACCTGGAGGACCAGGGTACCTGTCTTAGTCTGACCTCTCCCCCTTGACCAATCTGGCTAGGGAGGCCCTACCAGTACCTCTTGGGGTCACTGAGGTACTCAAGCCCCACCACCATGACAAGGACCTGCAATTACTTATGATCTTTAAAATGTTAATAGTGGAATAAATTCATCTTGTTTTGTTTGAAAAATTGATCAGTGTTTACCAGTTTTAAGTTGCATTACTTGAAACTGCAGATGGGTTTTGTAATAGGCGGCTAATAGATTTAATTTGTATTTCCGCAGTTCTGCTCCTAAATATGTAAGTGACTTTTGGTTGAAAACTTTCCCATGCATTGGGTGTAGATTTGGGAAATATTGTGACTTCTTAATTCATTTATTTATTTGTTAATTTTTGTCAAAAGCACCAAATAAGAACATAGCAGATAGAACAGAATAGAAGTGAATTGACTTACATTAAATAGATCCTTCTTTTATATATATGTATATCCCTGTCTTCATGGAAGTTGTACCAAGAATTAGACAGCCTCAGTGGCTGAACATCGTAGAAGACTTGTGATCTCCATACTCGTCACTGTGATAACTTGACATCTCACAAGCTTACATTTGTCAAATCTTGGATATAGTTTATGTACTGATAATTCTGTACAAGAGGAGGTCACAGAAACTTTTCTGGCAATATTATTAACACTGACATGATCTGATGGCTTCTGAATGTTGCTCATTTAGGTGATGGCAAATACTTTTAGGGTTGTGAAGTGTCATTTGATGAAAGATGTTGACACAGTATTAAAACTCAGGAGAACATCACATTATCATCACTGCCTTGTCTTTTATAAGAAACGTTGAGAGGGTGAACTATCTTGTCTTAAGGTGAACTTGCCTGCAACTAGCCAATAGGAGGCCAGTATTGAGTCACAATCTGCCAACTTTTGCTATAGTATAACTGCATTATGCATTGTTTGTTTTGATAGATTGAAAGTTATTCAGCTGCTCAAAAAATTTGTTCATTTTTCGAACCGGAAGGAACCTACCATTGAACCTTGCCTTACTCCAGATTAATTCAGATCATACCTTCGTCTGTTCGTTTAAGATCCATTGTAGTGTTAAAAGTGTGTTCCGCTATGTGTGCTATATGTCCAACCCTCCTCATCCTTCTTGATCTGATCAGTCCAATAATTTTTAGTAGAGTGCAAACTTTGTATTTCATTATTATGCACCTTTCTCTATTTTCCTGTTATTTCTTGCTTCTGAGGTCCAAATATTCTCCTGAGCACGTTGCTGTCAATGTATATCCTTTAACGTAAGAGACAAAGTTACACTCCTGTTAACTTTTTATACATTTAGCTTTGTAGCTGGGCATATGAAGCTTTGTGTGATGATAGTTCAGATCTGTCACAAAATTTCCTATAAAACCTAGTAACAGGTATGATCATCTGGAGTTGGCAGCATTTTTTGAACCAGTGGGAGCCATATCAGTAAGTATTGCATAGGGACTGTAATGAGAACCTCAGACCATATTGGGATTATTGAAAATATGTCTCCATAAAAAATTTAAGTCCGTGGCGTAACAGCTCCAGAGAGCCAAAGCTGACTAGCTTGACTGCTGGCCTCACGTTCACATGCCTAAGCAGAGGTGAACGATCATCCAACCAGATATAGGGTGACGTGTGGTCAGCACGACAAATTCCCAGCCATTGCTAGCTTTCCTGACCGGATTACGCTACTCATTGTAGCTCCCCAATTTCCTCACGATGCTGGGTTGGCACCGGTCCCATACACTGGTCAAAAATCTCATGAAAAAATTTCTTCTCCCCCGAGACTCGAACCAGCGCACATTCCATATCGCCAGTCCGAAGCATGATGCCTCAGACCGCGTGGCTACGGCACAGGACTATATGTCTCCATAGCATACATAAAATATGAGAAGTTTGTAGTGCATTAGTAATTTGTTTCTTATTTAGACTCTTTCATTTGTTCAGTACATAGGTACTGGTTGATGTCTGAAATTATGCATTTAATTTAACTGTGTGGTATATGAAAACATATTGTATTAAGTTCTTTAATTCAATGAAAACACACAATAGAGTTATGCAAAAGTGCCCTTTTCACATCTTTTGTAGGATCATTATATAAGTTTTAAAAATTTGTTTTTTTACTGCACAGGGTTCATGAAATCATCTTCAGGTTTAAACAATCACACAAACTAAATTATGTCTAAGCCAGTTGACAAACATAACATATTTCTGCTGGTTGCTATGAGTATTCATATGAACACTAACTCTCATTTTCAGTCTAATGGAATCTTCTCTTGAACTACCTGCAAAAAACAGAATATATCTTAAGTTAGTATGCAGTTCGTTTTCTTATGCCTTATGTCAGAAATGTAATTATATATTACGATTTTATTGATTTCCGTGTTACATAAAACTTGGGGTCTCTTATTTTTGGGCTGTTAATAGTAGTTCGTGTTCGAAAAATATTGTGGCAACTTTTGCATACATTTTAAATAATTTGAAATGTGGATGTGACTTTGCAGTTTAAAATTTCTGCTATGATATTGTCAGCATATTTTCCAAGCTGTGTGGTTTACCCTTTTATACTCTGTTGTAGCAAAATGGCTAAATAGTGTGTATTTGTTCAGCTTGTTTCTTTCTTTAAGACCTGTTGTAACAGTATCTGTCATCTGTGTCCAGGTCCCCGAATATTCTCTTCCTTTCAGGTTTTTTAAAATAAAATGTATGCATTTTTCATTCCCCCATACATGTTGCATGTCCCATCCATCACTCCCTCCTTGATTTGATTACCCTAGTAATGTAGGTATTTTTTTTTCATCCTGCGGTTAATTCCTCTTTGTGTTAAAATATTTTCCCTAGTACTTTTTCCTCAGTCACCTTCAGTCTTTGTTCCTCTTATACGGTGTCAGACAAAGCTACACACAGTAATCTCCTGGCAGAAGACTGAGATAGCATTTTAAGGTGTTTCTAGGTAATGCTGTTTATTTCTTCTGCGTGTTGAATTAAATTTTCTTCTGGTACTGTATGAAATGTGTCCTTATACCCCACTAATGATGAAGGCAGTCGTGATGCATAATGTCCAGTTTGTAGCTCAAAGTTTATTTACTGTTATTCCCAGCTTGATCTACTTTTTTGATTTTGCTATTGGCAAGAGCGAAGTACTGGTTCTGTACAAGTGTGATTTGGCTAGTTCATAAATGTAAAATTGACACACCTTGGCACACAAAATCCTGTATTCATCATCGGTAGTATTGGCCTCCTTGGCAGGTAGAGCCATTCCCCTGCGTCTTAGCTCCTGCTGTACATCCGTCAGATCAAATATACTGATTGGATCAACCTTGTGTCTGGCAATGAGCCCCACTAAATACTCAATGTAGTGTAGCCTAAGGGGAGCAGACAAGAAAACAAAAAAGTGAAAAAGAGCACAAATTAAAATAAGTACCTTGAGCAAATGGTTCCGATAGATGAGGTCCAATGTTCCATACGGTCTGGGAGGCAAGCATAAGCTTGCTCGTCTAACAAGAGTTTCTAGATCATCTAAGCTTAGAATGCTTAATGTATCCAGTGAGTGCTTCCGGATTAGATTAGTTAAATACTCTAGATAGTGTCTCCTGGAATGGAAAGATTAATCTCTTTTTGAATATTGCCATGGCAACATTTAATTTGGAAAAAAGAAAAGAGATTTGTGGTTAAACATTCAGGTGTACAAATCCCATTTTATTGCAAATACAATAATATAATGTGTTCACTATTTTACATAATTCCAAACTGCAATACGTTAACTATTTAGTAGTATAGCCTGTTAAAGTTTTTGTCTGCAAAATCAATTTGATATTGAGAGATTTGCTATGTCAGAAATGGAAAATATAGTTTCATTAAGTTAGAAAAATTTACAGAAAGCCATATTAGTGCTATCGTGATTTAAAATTCATATTATAAATAGTTATTTCACACTGCAATATAATTGAAAGAACAGATGTTAGGTTGCCATGTTCTCACCTGCATAGTCCTGCTTGCCCTTCTGCTATATCTTCTTTGCACACAGTATCAATTACTCCTGCAGGCGTTTCTCTTTGCAACTGTACCAGGCATTTCAGTTTCTCACCATTCTGCTCTTGAGTCTTCAGGTTAGGTGGTAGCTCTGTGTCGAATGAGATGTTGTGTTCCTGTGCAGGAAAGATTTTGCCTTGAGCATGACAGTGGACATTTATGTCTTCAGTATTATACTCGTGTTAGGTGTAGCAAGGTAAGTGTTGTTTATTGAGACTCCTGGTTAATATTACATATTCTATTCAGTTTATTCTTATAAGTGGTTGGTATTTGTGTTCTATATTTTGTAATCTGATGTGCACAAAAACAAGAATTGAATATAGCACATTGGGATGCTTCACTATAGACTTGACATGTTTTCCATTAGCTATGAAGACACATTTATTAGTTACAATGGTTTATAATTATGTTATCTTCTACCTTCAGTAGTGTCTGCAGCTGTGTAGGTTCCTTGTCTCTCAGATAAAAGAGACAGTTGCGTGGGTGGTGAGCATGTAGGCCCAGTTTGGCACAATTTGGTCCCATACTGCACTTGGCTCCCATCGTGAATGTTTTTCCACAGCCACAACAGAACTCGTACTTGCATTGGCTGCATGTGAAGTGCATGCAGCCTCCTCTTGCCAGTGAATAGCTGAACTTGCACTTCGGACAGTCGATACCATGTTCAGCTAAGTGTTTAGCTAATCCAGCAGCCTGAATCTCAGGATCATTAGCTTCTTTCCATTCTGCAAATTTTTCACATGTGATACCCTCATGTTGCTTCTCCCACTGCAAAGAATTAAGAATTCTGTAAATGTCTTAGATTTCAGTTTTATTTCTCCTGTTGACTACATTTATAATATGTTTCTGTTGTTTGTGTTTTTAAACTTATAGTTAGAAACAAGAATACACAATAAGAAGCAGTTTTTTATATATCTTTTCAAACCAGTGCCATACTGTCTAAAACAATAACAATTTTTAAGATGCATTATTTTATGTTTTGAACTCGGAAATAGTGGAAATATTTAGTCTGCATTTTAATTCTTTTTTTTATTGCCAAATGTTATAGATATGAGTCTTTTGCTAGTAATGCCATTCATTTTGGAAAGTTTGTAGTCACAGTTTAAAATATTTCTAAAGAAAATGCTGACAATTGCAGCAGAATATATGTCAGGTATCTCTAATTTGTAAATGGATTCGCAAAGAATGGGTTTTACAAATGTATTATTATGAGTAAGATTTGAGGTATTCACAGCGGTGAGTATGAAGATTTCTGTCTTCTGGGTTGTTGCGCTGTGTAGTCTGGTCGATGTTAACAACGTTTCAGAGGTCATACTGCCTCTGTCATCAGGGCGATGAATTTATTCACGATCACGCGATTTATTCATTGCCCTGATGATGGAGGCTGTAGGACCTCTGAAACGTTGGTTAACATCGACCAGACTACACAGCGCAACAACCCAGAAGACAGAAATCTTCATACTCACCGCTGTGAATACCTCAAATCTTACTCACCCAGAAGATAGAAATCTTCATATTATTATGACTTTGGATTTTGATTTCTAAGAGCTCATAGACTGGTTGTGGTCTATTTACCAAGGTCAAGGAATATTTTTCTCCTTTCTTCAGTTATGTGCTCTTTGTTTAGTGATTTTTGACAATAAATCTGAAACTCACAGGTCGTCTGCAGGATGCACATGTTACTGAACGGCAGTCAGGACAGACTAACCTCTTCTGGCGGGGATTTGCAATGAAACCAGAAGAACACTGAAACAATATGGTCAGCCATTAATAGTTTTCCAAAATTGTCTTGTATTATTTTTTGTAGTAAAGTACTATGAGTCTTACCTTGACACACCATTTGAAATTGGGATCTTGCATTAGTGTTCGGTCTCTTAGTTTCCTCTGAAACAGCTCGTGGACAGCTGGATCAAGGAAACTTTTGAGAAGGATGTCAAGATTACTGAAGTATTCTAGTGCTTCATCATCATTCTGCATTTCTGGTTCCTTGCAGAATGGGCATACAGCATCATTTATATTACGATCAGTTATCTGGATCGTGTAGTAGTTCTTTGCACACTCCTTGCAGCAGCAATGGGTACATTTCAGCATGGACACCATCTAAGCAGAGGAAAAGTAAAATTTTACTCCTGTTCCTCATTTTGTGCATAATACCATGTACTGTGCCAAAAAAAATGATGGATCATTCCCTCTCTGTTAACAGTTTCACTAACCTGCTTCATGGGATATTTTCCAGTACAGAGTTCACACTCTTGTTGCAGGAATGAGAGGGCTGTGTTGAGGTTACTACATTCTTGAGCTGCATTCAGTGCCTCATCTTGTTCAAACTTCAGATCCATCAGCTTGACAGCTAGCTCAGCCTGATCATATGTTTTCACCAACCCCTCGGCAAGAAATCTTCTTACCTGGCGCTGCAAGTGGGAGGGCATGCATGGAAACAGCAATAGGTAAGTAATTTGTTTATTGCAGATTAAGGTGTTTTTACTTTCTGTAGTTTGATGATTTTGGAGATCACTGTAACATTTGCTTGTTGTCTTTATCAGCATTTTGAATTTGCAGCAACATCCTATTTGTACTAAATAAGGTATTATTGCTATTCTGAAATTTACAGTTAGAAATTTTCTACTCGCAGTATTTCCTCTCAGATGAGGCTTTTATATGAATGTGCTACAGTTAATTCCTTGCATGTGATCATGTTTTATCGAATGTCCACATTGCGATAGAAATTAATATGCTCAGGTTTTAAAGGTTCTCATTATACGCATATAGTATTTTTACTCTGCGGCGAGAGAATGTTCACGGAAAATAAGTTTCTGCAGAACTGTTCAATATAAATAAATTTCCTTCTCCAAGATGGCATTAAAACTTCTTTAGCGTTTTTACTTGTGTTATGTTTTTAGTGACTTTCAGCTGTATGCGTTTTCTATAAACTCTCATCAGTTTAAGAAAATTTAGATATTTATATAATTATAGCATATCAGTTAAATAAGAAGAGGTTTCTTATTCTACTTCTGCTATTCAGAGATTAGGCTGTGAGCCTGTTCTGGCAATTAAAAGGGCACATATAAGTTTTTGGTAATAAGAATACCTACTTATCCAGCTGGTTGAGTATAATACAATCCAAGAAATGTTTTAATTGTTATTTTAGTCTAGTGGTTGATGAAGAATAACAAAACAGATAAAGCAGTTTGGTGTTGTTGAGATGAGAATGGCCAGTTACAGTAACAGAATAATATAGGTGGCTATACACCACATCTAAATAGGCTATAAAGTGCTCCCAAAAGCCTCCAAAGATATTTGTGGCATGTAAATTATGTTGATGCGAATTAACAGATGCACCCTTGAAATTAGTGACTTATATGGTATTGATTCTGGAGTCCCGGCGGTGCCCGAATTTATAACTTGTGTTGGACAAGGCCGTGGTCTAGGCAACACGGAGTTTTCCTCCGGGGCTTCCCCGGTTTCTCCGTGGCATCCCAACAATTACTCCATACACACAGAAGAAGGCAGTGGCAAACCACTTCTGTATCACCTGCCTAAAAAACACATATGAACAGGTCCCAGTCCGAGAAAAGGATGGAGGGATCCTGTTCATAATATGTCGCCAACCTCCTGTAAAGGAGACTGCGTAATAAAGAAGAAGATGGTATTGATTTATTTTGGAAACTTATGTTACCCCTAATTTTGTTTCTTGCAGTCTGTGTTACGCATTAGTTGTATTTCCTCTGTGTTCTTTTAATCGTGGAAAGTGAATAGAGAATGCTTATGAAAACAAATTGCCATGACAGAAGGACCAACCTGAAGTATTTTGGTTTGTTTCATTCTAGAAGATGACATTCTTGAAACCATAACATGTTCTAGGTAAACTAGTATGTATAGTAGGTCTAGACAAATATTGTTCAGGTTTAGGAGACATCTTTAAATACTACGTACCGAGACTAAGTACAGGCACAAATCTGCAGAAGCCAAGATATAACATTAGGCTACTACTGGTGGCCCTTCACTGGAGGTTGTCAAGCCCTGACAAAGTCATCTCAGGTTATGCCATCAAAGTAGATTCGTAAGAACAAATATGAAGAATTTAAATACACGTTATAATTACAATATGATAAACTAATCGCATAAGTAATGTTTTGCTGAATTCTGTGTTCTGCGAGGCATATTAAATTAGTAAAAAATTCTGCAGTATTCATATGTTGTAACCTTGTGGATTTTGTTCTGAAATCTGTCCTTACAGTTTTGAAGTATGAAAGTCATCATGTCCAGATTTCCATTAGGTTTTGTTCTGACATATAAGCCTCAGATTGGGATTTTTATTCTGTTTCTTACTTTATGGCTCACCTCAAATTGCATTTGATCTGTGACCTTGCTAGATAAGTCTGTTGGGCTTGGGATTTCATCTTGTTTCTCCAAGCTTTCATTCTCAGCAGGGTACATTGTTGAAGGTTGCACGTGTTCATTGTTCACTTTGGCAGGGTCAGGCGATTGATTACCTATGTTTATTGTTTGGAGGACTTCTGACTTAGGTGAACCTGACTGGGTTAAATATGAATTACTGTTTGGGGTTATAGCTTCATTGTTATTTGAAGTGGTAGTGGTGGCAACACTTGGTGGATTTTTAATTCCCTTTGCTAATTTACGTTTAGGAGGAATTGGGGCTTCCCTGACCATGGAAGTTTGTGTGCTTGAAGTAGCATTGGGAGATTCTGTGTTGAAGAAAGCCAAATCACTTGTTGCAGGTCTTGGTGAATGTGGTGAATGTTCTGTCACCATTCCTTGGGAACTTGGAGCTGAAACATCATCACCTTTCATTGTAATCAAGTCAACAGAATCTGTTTTGTCTTCTTGTTTAGTTAGGTCAGAAGCTGCTGAACTGTCTGTTACATTTTCTCTGTCTTTTTTTAAAACCACTTCATTTTCAATTGTCTTATCTTGAAAGTTGAGAACATTTTCTTGACCCATTGAGCATTTTGGTGATTCACTAACTGCAATAATATTTTCCATGATAAGTTTTATTTCTTCATTTTCTTCTTCTTCATCATCTTCTTCCTCATAATCTTCTTCTTCTTCCATTTCATCATTTGTTACATATTCTTCATAATCATCATCTTCTTCATCTGCACAGTGCTCTTGGAATGAGGGTGCACTTTGTACTGTATTTTGCAGTGTTTCTTTCAGCTGTAATGGTATTGCAGTTATATTGTGATCTTGATCATCTTTGTCACTGGGTGTTTCTGCAGGTTTTTGTGCAGGTGGTGGTTCTGTCATTATTTGATCGAGTGTGACGTCCGAACTTTCATCCATTGAAAAAATATTTGTGTCCAAGTTTCTGGCTAGATCCAGTTTTGGACTGTATTGTTTGATTCTGGAATCAGATTGAATGTATGTGCTTTCTACTATGTTTCTAGGTTCAGGGGAAGATGCTGAAATGTTTTCTTCAGTTACATGCACAATTGATTCATGGAGTACTTTACTTTGTTCTTCAGTATCTTCTTTAGAACTTGTTAATTCAGCTGACCTCTTGTTATCTGCAATGTTGTCAGGTAAATAATATTCTCCATTTACTGATTCTGAATCTATGATACCGTGCACTTCTCCTGAAGCCTCAGATGATCCGTGTTGCTGTGTTAAGCTTGCTGGGTTTAATTCGCTTTGACTTTCGGTTTGGGCAGGGGCCTGATTGCACAGTGCAGCAATTATCGAGTCTTTGAATGCTTTTGCTTGAGGAATGTCTGAATAATTGCCTGTCAGCACATTTATCAGCAGCTGGAATGCATGTTCTTTAGATATTACTTTGTCCTCTACCTCAGGAGATTTAACAGGAATGTGCTGGTCCTCATTTTTGACTGGCTGTTTGTCATTTACCTGAATATCTGATTGGTCCAATCTAACATCATCGGTTTTAACATTACTTCCCTGTAAACTTGTAGTGCTAATAACCTGTATTGCAGTCTCCGAAGTTGAAGGCTCATCTGGAAGGACTGATTCAGATATCTGACTCACCGCTTTTTTGCCGTCAATAATTGCTTCATGAGATTCGGTATCAGAATGTGCATCTAGGAAGTCTGTTACTGATATATTGTCATCTGTGTGGGAGAAAAATTAATATACATAAGTTATTGATTACACTGATGCTGCTGTGAACATTACGAATAAATATGCAGGTAATCTCCTATTTATGTCATTCTGTGACATTGTTCAGTTATTTGAGTATGAATTTAATATAACATTTTTGTTTTGAGCAATCACTGAAACCAAGGATTGAGCAGTTTCCCATTAAGTTATTTTGGTATATATTTCTGTTTTGTGAGAACTCATTCTTGACATAATTTGGAGGCTGCCTGTGTGATTATAAGCTGGTGATTACCTTCTTCATCAAGGTGTTTCTGGGAAACATCATCTGGTATTTCTTTAGTGTTCACCCCAATATTCTCTGCGTTAATATTCCCACTTTCATTTTCTGTTCCATTTGGGGGCCCCCAGATCCTCATAAGGAATGGTTTAAGTTGAGTTTTGCTGAGCTCAAGATAAGCAGCTTCTATATTACCGTGATTTGCTGTTAGAACGGTTACAATGTCCTCTCTCGTGAAGTTACCGCGTGACAGCAAATCTGCATACTGGAACAATGCAGTGTTAATTATTAATTTACAGCTTTCTTTAAATTTTGCAACTTGTATTAGTAACACAAAGGAATGAGAAATCTTATATTCACCTACCCACATTTAATTTATTATGAATGATAACAGTAATAAGAATGAACTGGCTAGCTCATTTATTAGTAGAGCACTAGCATTATATTCAGTACCTGATTGAAATTTAAGTTGGTACCAGCAATTGTTAGTATTATTTGTGATTTTTGTACCCCATATATTCATACAATTGTTGGAAAAGTACTTTTTAAAAAAAAGTGTCTCCAGATGTCATGGTTAAATTGTTAAAAAACTTGAAGTCCTTGGCTCCTATTCATACAATTGTTGAAAAAGTACTTTTATAAAAAAAAGTGTCTCCAGATGTCATTGTTAATTTGTTAAAAAACTTGAAGTCCTTGGCTCTGTGCCTTTATTTATAAAGAGAATTTAGACATTAGATTAGATGTACCTTTTTCTGACGTTGCTCAACACACTCTGTGACTGCTGCCCACACATTCCCCTTGTGCAAGCGCAGAGCATCACGTGCTTCAGGAACTGATATGGTGCCAATATTGTTCTCTTTACGTTCATGACCATAGTTAGTTGCCAGTGTGACCACAGTGTCTATCATGTTGCGCCAGTTCTCCCTTAACCAGTCAACTGGATTCTTGTCACCACAGTGGTTCATTGCCACCTGCAAGTCTTCAGCTGTGAAATTGTGCTGTTCAGCTTCCTATTGAAAAACAAATTAGTGTTATCGATGACACTATTGAAATTGTACTGTAGTGAACTTCAAACAACAGCTTTAAATAACAAGGTGTTGCTGTTTAATTCCTGAGAAGCAGTCACTTTCCTGATGGAAGGATCCTGTTCATAATATGTCGCCAATCTCCTGTAAAGGAGACGGCGTAATAAAGAAGAAGTCACTTTCCAACTCAAACCTCTAATATAACTATTCACATATTAATTAACTCCAAGGAACAGAGTACATATTGAGAAAATGATAGTTGCTTCTGTGGTCAAATTTATTTTCTTTTATGTAATGAGAAGGTTTGTGTTCACAAGAGCCCTCACCTGCATTAAATGAATCCAGTCCAAATCTTCACACCTTGCCTTTTTTAAGATATATTTAAGATATATAGTACTAGATTATATATTATTTTTGTGGATGTACAGATGGGGGAAATTATGAAGAGGTTGTCTGAGGATTCATTACTATGACAAAAGAGTGCTGATCGAAGTTAATGGTATTGTAAATCATTAATCTTCTTCTGATACCATTGCTGTTCCCCCAGAGTTAATGTGGCCAAACCTGAAGCTGATCACTCACCTCCATGTAGTGCTGAGGTTGAGAATGTATGGAGCTATACCTCCATGTCCCCAAGATGGTGTGGTGTTTAATTAAGCACCAGGGATAACTTTACACTTTGTGTCTGAAAGGTCATTGCATTTATGTTTCTGTACTTACCCTAAGCAACCTGACTAATTCAAGACCCTGAGATTTCATTGCTTCTGTACGTTGCCTCTGTACTAAATCTTCCAAAGCAAAGTAATCTTGACGGTTCATCCCAAGATGACCATCTGGCGGTTGGGACCCAGCACGACTGCCAATGCTGTGGCGACGTCCTGCACGTTCAGGCTGTGAACAGAAAAATGTTGCAGTAATGCAAAACTAATGCTATAGTTTTTCCACATATATCTAGTCTTACAAAATTAGCAATATTAACACTGAAAACCACACCTTTTATTCTCTTTCTAACTCTGAAATTCGGTTTTTATATTTGATCTAAATGGACATTATGTAGTCCTGTTATTTCTGGTCCATGTGACTTAGTAGTGGAGATAATATAGATATTTACATATGTATCAAAATACATATAGCGGAAGTGAATTTTCAATATGTGTGTATATGTGTGCTTAATCATGCCACACCCTTAAATAATTATTATATCCATGAGACTCTGCTGGAAAAGAAGTTCTCCGGTTATCTAATTGGTCATTGTGACGGATATCAACATGGCCTCTTGTTGAATCTGAGGTTCGTTTGTGGTCCACCAATGAACGGCGTTTTCCCTCTTGATAGTCATCTCTTCTAAGGTCACTGGAAGGTCCACCATAATATGAACCAAGATTGTTACGTTCTCCATACATAAGCATCTCATCATCAAGAAATTTGCTTCCAAATTGAACAGGACTAGAGTCCCTTGAAGGTGATAGTGGCAAACTCTGTAACAGAATCGGTATGCTTAGTGCATTTATTGGAGTTTTTATGGTAAGGAAACTAAGTTTTCATTATTCATCTTATAGTATCTCAACTTTTAAAAAATATGAAGTTTTCAGAGTCATATTTAGAAACTGTAATATGTGTTTATATTATAATAACTACCAGTTTGTCAAAATGAGATTGGTTCTTGTATATAATTTATTTTATATTTAACAACACCTTATGCAGTAAGTTATTTATAAAATGTGTTTAATTAATGGCTGGATGTTGAAATATTTCCATATTTTAATGAAGTGAAAAGGTTCTACTAATTTATAATAACATGAAACTGAAACTTGTACCAGAGCTGTTCAGTCTATTTGATGGGTGAAATATGCACAAATAGTTATGGTTATCCGTTACACATAAAGAAATGTGTGTTTCATAGTCGATTGAATTGACTCTTACTTCAGAAGTTATTTTTTAGAATTTTTTTATATTTAATTATATAAGTCAAAATATGGATGATATTAAGAAATTTCTCGTTTTCAATTTGTAATACCCATAAATTAGATTTGCTGTTTTTGCTTCCTTTTATTCCATTCACTTTGTATGTTTTTCACTATGATGAGATCTTTCCATTTTTTGCAAGTGTTTTTCATGTAAATTAACATAATTGGAGACCTAATTTTCATCATAACATCCTTTCAGGTTATTTCATGATGTATATTTTTACTGTGAATCTGCATACTTTGTATTTATTTCATACAATTTTACTGTCAGTCCCTCAAAATAAGATAAATTTAATTACATTCAATTTGTGTTCTCTGAATTAGTGTAGCAAATGTAATAGATTTTGTAATCGGTCTCCTTAACTTTAAAATATCTGATTGGAACTTCATTCCAAAATGTTTTGTCCTCAGTAAAATGATTTTCACAATGATAGGATGATCATTTAAATTTTGAATATGATTCACATTAGTTTAATTGATTTGATTCATCAGCAGGTCTCATTCTAACATTTAAAATACACTGTAAATCATTTTGAGTCTCCTGTTTTAGCATAAACATTGAACCATACTTTGGCATTCTGATTAAAATGATGTGTTTTTTGAAAGAAGTAGCTAACTGAAGATGAAAACTTTCTTTAGCTGTTTTTGTTTCATGTGTAAAGGTTGTTGGCTCTTGTTGATCAAAGCCTTGAGCAAGTCGTTTGGAAGACATAAATCCTTCTCTTATGTGCATATTCTAATATCTTCATAAAACAGCTTGTGTCTAACTTCTAAATAGTATCTTTGCTAAATTTTTAAAATAAAAATGATCACCAAGGAAACTGTGAAATACATATATACATTGATACGTCTGACAGATGTTTCGATAATCAGCACCCTAACCTTGATTTGTAGATGGAGAATGATTTTTGTATCTAACACTGACCTTTATAGTATGGAAAAGGGGATTTAAACTGCTGTATTAAGGGGCTACGAGCTTGACTTGACCTTTGGAATTAACAATTTAGCATTATGCTAGTGTTACACTCTACCAGTTGGACAGCACAGAACCATGATGCATGGTCAATAAAGGTTAATTATCCAATTTGTTGATATTATGAGAGAGGCATGGTCTCTAACTATATCTGAGCAGAAGAAATTTGGCAGTCCATACAATAAGCAGAGCATGTTAGTGAGCCATACCTGAGCATCACTCATGAGTGACTGTCGGCTTTGTGAGCGAAAGAGGTAGTGAGAAGTAGCTCCCCAGGTGTCATCAGCTGTCTGTGTGCTCATACGCAGTGACATGGCACGTTTCAATCTTTGTGTTGGCTTATACACTTCGTCACGTTCACTGTAAGAATCCCCATGCTTACTGACTGGTGATATTGCAGCTTCGCTTCGTCCTGACATGCTCATCACTTTCTGAGGCACTTCATATGTCTGTTAATACAGAAACCAGTTACCTGTACCGCTAGCTTTGTTATGCAGCAGCAAGCTTATGGTATTTGGGTTGGGTAGATTAATCATTTGTAAGTACAATTCAGGTTGAAGAGTCATTAGAAACTTTTAAGTAACATAGTTTGTTAATGTAAATTTCCCAGTCATAGATTATAGTATCACTTAAACTGAACACCACTGCTTATATAGAAGTCACAGAGAAAGATTGCTATTCTTTAATTTTGAAATTTGTGGTTTTCATGCCTTTTGAACCAAATCCAAATATTAATTTGTTTCTGTATTTTAATTTGACTCTTTTGTTATCAAATGCAGAGAGATATACATTCACGGTGGGTAATGATGACAATAAATTGTGGCCATTTTTTTAATAATTATATTTTCGTATCTGATTTTGAGATTTCATGGGGATTCATTATTGCTCTTGGACCTGCTTTTGGTTGCTCATACTATGTGTACGTTGGATAGTTGCCAGTGTTTCACACTTTATAGATGCTGGCTTGTTGCTGACGTTTCAGTGACATTTTCTTGAGTGCTCACACTTGTAGAAATTGGCTTGTTGTCAACATTTCAGAGGACCATACTGCTTCTATCATCAGGTTTAAAGTAAGGAAGTTTGGGAAGTAGCTGGTTTATACCAGGATAAGATAATGAGAGCTGGCTAGTCAGAGCTGGGGTGATGAAGGGAAAGATACAGTGACATTTGGGCCAATGGGAAAGTGCCCTTTGTGGGGCTGAAGTCAGATAACTAAAGTAAGTTATACAATTAGTTATGTACACTTCCCTCACTGGACCACCTGAACAAAATGGAAACTTAGTTTTATACTGTTCTATACCATTCTTCAATAGACTGATGTACCATAGCCTTTTAAATTCTGTGCTGATTTCTGTCATGAAGCAATAAGAAAATTCTATAATCTATAACAGTAAGGACATTACTGAGAAATTCATAGTATGAAACAAGTCATGCAGTAAAGAAATCCTTTATATTTCTATAAGATCTAATTCAAATTGATTAGTGTTAATAACATCAAAAGCAAAGAATGAGTTTTAAAGAAGAAGAATTAAAATTGTTTCGTGTATGAGAAGAATTTGTTAGAACAGGTTTTGTAGTTGCATTACATTACCTGAGTTGAGATGCTCTGTGGCGGAGGTGATGTGCCAGTAGATGTCACCATTTTAGATTTGCAAGAAAACTGAGCATTTATGTTGGTTCTGGATTCTGTTGCCTGTATTTCAGTGTTGAATTTTGTTGCCTGAGTTTCTGTGGCAGACAGAGTGTCACTTGACACAGCACTTGTCTGAACTGGTTTACTTTCTGATATTTGCGTAGGAATCTCTCTAGGAGGTGACGGTCCAACTCCTGTTGACACAGTACTCTTTGCAGCTGGTTTTGCTGGAGGCTTCAGAATTTCCTTTACAGTGTTGCTTGTTGCAGCAAATTCCTGATTACTAACTACAGGTAATGGAGATGGTGTTGCTATCGAGAGTTGAGAGTGAGAATCAGAGGATTCTGTGGTAGTTGTGGTAGTGAGTCTGTCTGAAGGGGCAGATGGAACAGATTTAGTCTCAGACAAAGAGTCACTTAATTCAGTATGGCGAGATTTTCTCTGAGCCATTTCAGATGTCTTCGCATCTTCCAGAATTTCCCCTATAAAATGGGTTAGATTGTTAGTTTGAATTAACAGAAATTTTAAACACAGTTTGGTATAATAATATGTGTATTGTATTCCTATGAAGTTGTATGGTTTGGCTACAAGATAAAATGGTTGTATATAAAACTCTGAATAGTCCACAAAGAACCTACTCCAAGTTCTTAAGAATTGAAAGCTGTTAATCCCACACAATTTCTGTTTGTTGTAAAGATATGTTAGCCCACACAAGTTTAGTGATATTTATTAACTTTGAATCTAAAAAAGTATATGATATCGTGTTTTCACATTAAGTCTTAACATTTCTGCGGAAACTTTGTACCAGGCCAAAATGATATTTTTCTGGAAGGCCTACCTTTCCTTTTACTGTTAGTTGATTCTACATCTGAGGACTTCAATTGCATGCCTTCATACGGGTCTTCCTCAGCATCTACAGCTTTGCCTGATTTCTGTGTAATTCTTAGTTGTTTGTTGAACTTAGCAACAACATAGCTTTCATCATAGGGAATGTCACTATAGTCGTCACTTGTAGGTTGTGGCTGTTGTTTGGCTGTGAATTCACTGTGATGCCATTGCCTGCTAGTGCCTGTATTATTGTAATCAGCATTGTTGTGACTATTGGTGCTCTTTACACTGCTGTGCCTGAAACTTGTACCACTACTTGTGTTTTTCTTACTTCTGGTTTTTATATTAAAACTGTTGGTAATTCCACCAGTATCAGAATTATTTCTTCTCAGTCTGCGCCGTTGTTGTGAATCTGTTGATGGTCTCTGTGGCAGACCTGTGGGTGTCTTACAGCAGATGGCACAAACCCTGGTACCAGCACGATTGACATATGTACAGTGCTCGCATTCCCATTGGTGTGTGGGAATCACAGGTTTTGGAGGAGGTAGCTGTGCTTCCTCTTCCTCTTCAGATCCTTTCTCAAGATTAGCATCATCTATGTCTTCTTCTTCATCATTCTGGACATTTGAGAGGTAATCTTCTCCAGAACTTTCTGAAGTCACATGACGTCTGTGCTGATGCGTTGTAGCCATATGTTGCTGTGTCTGATTATGATTCAATCTTGTGGTCTGTGATTTCCGTGATTTTGTGCTGGGTGTCGGTGATACAGCTCTGTGGTATTGCTGAATGGTCTTCATGTTTGGAGCTGGAGATGTCATCCTATGCAGCTGGGTTGACTTGACACTAAGGGTTGGGGATGCAGGTCTCCTGCGATGCTGCTGTTGTGTTGACTTTGTACTGTGCGCTGGTGAAGAATGTCTATGATCACTGTGGCCTATGTTCGGAGGAAGCATGTTGGTGTTAGGTGCATTAATGTTGGTTTGTGATGCACTCATTTGTAGTGGGTATGCTCCTGGGGGTGAGGTAGGATATATTCCAGGTGGGGGACCATGCCAGGTACCCATGTTGTTGACACCTCCACCCCACATTGGTACAAATCTACTGCCATCTCCACCAGTATATCCAGGTGCAGGCATGTTTAAACTTAAATTGCTGGGTGTCCTTCCAGGTGGGCCACCAAATTCCCATGGGTTATTAGACATCCAAACCATGCCATGATGACAACTTGGACAATTCAGATGGGCCATGGACTGAGCCTGAAAAATGTTTGCATCTTTGTTTTAAGAACCTGAACATAGTGCACAACAGTACTTGTCATCATACATTGATAATTTAAGGTCATCCTTTCTAATTTCATTATTGAGTAATAACATATGGCATGTCTATGTTTTGGTGTACAGTTCAATTTTGTCTCAGTAACTGAATTCAGGGTCACCCTCGGTGGACTAGTGGTTAGCATGCTTGCTGCTGGACCCAAGGTTTGCGAGTTCAAACCCAGCCGAGGTTGATGGATTATTAAGGGTGATAAAATCCATAGCATGGCTTCCTTTGGAGGGGAAGTAAAGCTGGCAGACCCACGCCATAGATTTACGGCATGTAAAAGAACCTTATGAGCATGAACGAGACATTTCGTAAGCAAAATTCAGTGGCCATTTCTCACCCAAGTCTCACCTGATTCGCTTCTAGATGGCCCTAGTAGACAAATGAGGATTGATTAGAAATTGTGCAGAGGCAGTGGGCTTGTCACTCACTACTCATAAATGCATACTTCAAAGACAAGGAAACCTACCGCATGGGAGGAGGCCAAGGCTTGAATTTGGTCTGGTGTGCCATAGAAAGAAAAATTGAATTCAGGAGGAGACTGCCTTCCATACTTTGGGCATTTATATTGGTTGGAATAAAAGTAATGCAAATCTATATTTGCTGTTGTTACTGTTTTACATCCATCATCAGTTATGTGGGTAAAATATTGTGGTTGACCAGTTCTGGAAGATGTCTTACCTGCTGCATTGTGTGAAAATTTGGCTGTGGTTGTGGTGGAAAGTTCCCCATTCCCTGTAGATCAGTTACAGAACTACTCTGTATAAGTCCCCTACCAAAAAATCCATTATTTCGTTGAGGAGTTGATGGTGGAGTCTGGAATTCGCTAGTACGACGACGAGATAGTGTTGCCAAGCCAGATATGTCGCTTGAATTATATCGCATCTTCGAACTTATGTCAATGCCAGATGACCCAGAAATACTGCCTGAGCGGTTTCGTAGGGCCCATTGTTCAGCTTCCCAGTCTGGGTAACCACTGTCCCTGCTTGGTGGCTACAGACAAAGAAGTTTTTATTACTCTCTCTAGTCAAGCATTCTTTTATAAAATTGGTGAACATACAATGAATAAAATGCCTCAGAAGACAGAAATAATTTTCTAGATATTTAAATCTGTACATTCTAATTGGGAAAACATAGGCAGAAGTAGAATTTACTTCACATATGTGAGTAAAATAATTGTAGGAGCACTATGTTGGCCATTGTTTATTGTGTGGGGTGTATTTGATACACACTTTTTGGGAGTTGGCTCCACTGTCATCTTCAGGTGATTGTCAGTTTACTGACACTTTTTTATATTATTAGTAACAGTGGTCAGGATTGAACCTGAGATCTTTTGATTGTTATCACTAATAATACAAAAGGTGCCAATATAATGACCAGATACCCATTTATTCTGTGTTGGGCGTTTAGACATTATGTTGGCAGCATTTTGTCATAACATGCCAGCCATACTTACTAGATGTTGATCAGGCAAGTTGGTAAAACTACTGTTGGCCATACTGTTGCTCCTGGCTCTTTGTTGCTTCATCTCATTCTCTCGTTCAATTTCACTTTGCTTATTGCTCATTTCCACAACAGTAAGTGGGATGTTGGGATTGGTACCCCTCATGGCTGCCTGATGTTGACGATAGCGCTGTTGTAGAGTCCCCATACGGTCAGCCATTTGTGGTTTTGGTTGGTGTGTGTGCTCAGGTGGAACTGAGTTCAGTGCTGGAGGACTTGGTGCCATGTGGTCAAAGTCATCTCTTGTTGCTGTGAAAACCAGAAGTACTACAGGCGTGGTCTTGTCTCTTGGCACGCTGTTGCAATTGTCTTCAAAAATATTTATTATATTTAAGAATATCTATCATTTTATATAGTTTATTGAAATATGTGAGAGTTTGAAGCTAGAAATAAAAGCTGTAGTTATATATTTTGTTTTATTGTCCAAGAAATGGAGTTACTGACTTTTTTTAAGGAATGTAGAAACTGATATGAAATTTCTGCTCTTAACAGAGAAGAAAAGCAACAAAAGTATATGACACATAATAAATTTTGGAAAGTAGGTTTTTCTGGATCCATGTTTAAGTTTTCCATTGGTTTGGTGCACAGTTGTGCTAGACCGTTAGGTTATATTGTGCATAATCAGAATTTGTTTTCCTCTTTTGGAGAATCTGTAACACAAACTTAATAACAAAATGAGCTAATTCACATTTTATATTGGTCTTTTCATAAAATTGCTGCATTAAGTATACAGTAAGAATGCGAAAGTTCCAATTCAGTTGATCTTAACATAGTAGTTTTATCGAAACCCAAAGAAGTTTCTTAAAGCTGTGCAGTTTGAAAATTAATTCATTTGGTTAACTTTCCAGTAAAACAAAAATCATGTGCTAAGAGCCTTTACAGTTTACATTTTTGGCCAGAGACTGATGTACTTCAGACTGCCACAAAATCTGTTTAGCTTGAACTTAAGTGTTTTGCTGTTATTTATAACCAGTTGTACAATTTTAGAAAGACAAATACTAAAATATTTTCACTGTATTTTAGAGTATTTTATAATCTCTCAATTAATAGAACAGAATTAAAACCTTGTAGGGGTTGAAAAAATTTTCTTACTCTGAAATTTGCTAGGTGGTGGCGGTAAAGGCCGGCCACCCATCATCCTTTTCAAGCTTCCCATCTTATCCTTGATAGAGAAATCCTTCTTGGGCAGAGTTGGACCCTAGTTTAAAGAAGACAACACACCATTGTATATCTGAGTGTTTACAGAAACAATATGCCTTAGTTCTTCACCTAACATTCTGTATATTTCTTCCTGGACGGATGTCTTCTGCCTTATCTGAAGTTATCATTGATTTAATTGGACTTTTATGACGTCATCAGAACTTGTTGTTGAGTTTGCTATTGCCTTCAATAACTCAAGTTGTGTACATATGGTGCCCTTGATAACCATCCTCCATCATATCTTTTTAAAAGGTTCCTCTTTATTAATTTGTTTTATGAGAAATATTTAACTCTTTACTTTTGAGTTACTGGTGTTTGAAAGTTTTCTGTTGCTAAGGACCCTGACTGTTCTTAAGGTTATGAGTAGATGGATACTTTATGCGAAGGAGTTACCATCCTTATGCACAACCCTGAACCTTGAGGACCATTCAGTGACAATATTGTAAGAAACTGGGCAAATAATATCACTGTAATAAAAATTACTTAGAATAATTTTAAATACTGCACTATATGCAGATTATGAGACACATCAAGCAATGAGAATGAGATCCAGAGGTCAGTAAATAAACTTCTTAAGAATTACAATATTAAAATATTCAAAAAGAAAAACCAAAGCCAGTGAAATTATCCTGCCTGAAGAAAGAATGTCCAGAGGAATAAATTACATGTTCTGATTGTCTAGGACGCCACTTGAATATGATGAAGACGTAAAGAATAATATACATGATAATCAATGTGTGGAACTCTTTAAGAGTGTTTAAAGCATAAGGCAAGGAAGGAAATAATATTCAATTTTATGAAGTTCTGGAATTTCCTGTTCCATTTTATGGAAGTGAAACTTTGGAATTTAACAAAGAGAGGTGAAAGATGGATTTATTCTGCTAAAATGAAGTTTTCAAGACACATCAAAGGATACAATCATTTGAATAGGATGAAGACTGATGATGGTGAAGAAGACCTACAGATATTTGCAGTGAGGTACAAAATAAAGTCACAGAACAAGTGGACAGAACATTTGGGCAGAATGCCAGAAGAAAGCTTGAAACTATTTTAAATTACCATCCACGAGGAAGAAGAGACACTGTAAATCCCATTAACATTGAAATCGAGCCAGAGCAGGCTTGTAACCGTATCCTTGAAAGACATAGTTTAAACTGGGGCTGGGCAGGTGAAGAAGTCTTGTACTGGAGGTTAACACTTTGAATACTGAACATATTTGAACTTCATGAGTACTGGTTGTATATTTCACAGCATTTTAATTATATCTACTGTCAAAAAGCATTCTTAACCAACAGAATTTTACATGGGCATTCATTTCAATTTATATAAATTTTTGTTACTCACAATCTTTATGTGGTGCTCAGGTATAAATTTCAAATTATAAATTGATAGGCCTTATACTTCTGTCCAAACTGAGAATTATAATTTTGTAACTGCACCAAACCCAGTTGAACATTCCGTATTATATGAAGTCTGAAGGCACCAAACATGTTATAAAAACATACATCTCAACAGGCTATGTTGTGTTTGTGCCGTGCTAGGAGGCTCAGTGTGGCACAAGACAGTCTTCGAATGGTCTGCAGTTAATTCAGGCCCTGGTAGAATGTTTTGCGGATGATCATTTGATGGTTCAGAGTACAACTGAAAACATTAGGGTCAATGAAGGCCTGTGATGATAATCTTTTATGCTAAAATTTGAAGTTAATCCTTATCAGGGTTCTGGTATAGTGGTTTAAAAAGTCTACTTACCTCTAAATTACCAAATGGATAGAAAAAATTGGCTAGAATTAATGAAGATTGCGTCTTAATAAGTTTTCTTCCAAATCTTTTTCTTTCTCTGTTGCAGTCAGTGCAGTTTCTCACAAGCAGAGCAATGTTTGTTCATATTTTTAATTCCTCTCCAGTTTATACATTGCTTAGTGCCTGTATTGAAACCATATCATGCTTCTTTCATGTTAATGTGTATAAATTAAATATGGCGGAGAAAAAAATATTTTAAACACAAATTTCCATATATACCAGTTTGTCTACTTGAATCACAAAATGTCATGGTACAATAGTTTCATATTTAGGAGGTCCCACATTTAAATCACAGCTATTTTGACTCCATTTTTTTTTGTAGTTTACTGCAGTACATCGGGGTACATGCAGGAATAGTTCTCCAAAATAGGCCAACACTGTTTCCTTTTAATTAATATACAGTATCATTCACAAGTCATCCTACCATGTGAGACAACACATTCATTACCTTGGCAGTTGGAATAGCATTGTTAAATTAAACGAGAATTAATCAGCCATGCCAAACTGGAAACTTTTCAACCAGATTCCATAATATAAGTTTGGCATATTGTGGTAGCCCCTGTTTATTAATGTGTATTTATATCATTAGTACATACAAATTTTGTTTAAAAATAATTCATTGTAGTCTATATATAGTAGGATAAATTTCAAAGGGCTTTTGGTCATAATGAGACACGTGACATATTGTCCGATATAAACCAAAGTTGAAATTATTAATAAATTGCTTAGTATGTAGTTTTCTATACCGGTAAACAGCAAGTAGTCTGAATACACTTGATATTATTGGTTGCGAGTTTGCAGGTTGAATTTTGTTGTGGGTAGTCAAAACATTTTCATATATCTCTTAGACTTAAAGTAGCAAAACAAATCTAAAACACTGTATAACGGGGAATTAAATTAAGTCCTGCGTTAAGTTTCCATATCAAATTGTGTAAGATGATACTCAATATTCAAGTAGATACATAAAACAATTTGTGATCGTGAAAGTCTGCGAAGAACATTTTCATCCTCGTCATTATAGTTAACAACACAGTCAAACACAATGATTTAAATGTCATTGTCAAAGTGCTGTCATTTAAGTATTCAAAATTGAAAGTTAGTACCATTTTTCAGCATCGTGTGTAGAAATGACACCTGTAGGAGAAGAATTAGTTAATTATGGAACAAGATACTAACATATAAATAATATTTCACTGATGTTTGAATTAAATCATATTTTACATAGGTGGTTATTGTTGTAAGATTTGAGGTTTTCACAGCGGTGAGTATGAAGATTTCTGTCTTCTGGGTTGTTGCGGTTGGTAGAAGCTGCATCTGGTAGTGAGGAGAACAGAAACAAAATTGTAAGATTTCCGGTTTTCACAGCCGTGAGTATGAAGATTTCTGGGTTGTTATGCCATGTAGTATGGTAGATGTTAACCAACGTTTCAGATTCATCGCCCTGATCACAGAGGCAGTATGACCTCTGAAACGTTGGTTAACATCGACCAGACTACACGGCGCAACAACCCAGAAGACAAAAATCTTCGTGGGTATTGTTCTTTGCCACACTTGGTATTTGGCAAACGATGGTCGCTATAATGGAAATTGTTGCAACTTTTGACTGCCAGATTATCGCAGTACTTTGGATTTTAGAAATTGCGCATATTAGAAGATATCTCATCACTGTATTTTCTGGAATTTTATGACATAATAATTTTAAGAGTG